CTTCCATAATGAACTTCTTAATCAGCTCAGGATCTGCCACTGATATTGCGGCGCTGATAAGTCTTTCTGTAAAATGCATCAGAATTTGTTCTTAAAGTCAGCCATTTATTGTATGAGCTTGCTGTTTTTCTTCATTACATCATTCTCCTGTTATCTTCTTAACAGAACTCTCCCGTTCTTCATAACAGGCATCTTCTTTTATATAAGAGCCTTTGGTATATTTCATTTGCTGTCATTGGGTACCTTTCTATGGTTGATTTAGGACACTTTTGGCACTGCATTTGTTGCTGTGTTTGTAAGGTGTTCTTGTGGCCTTTGAAGGCTGAAAATACTTGTAATGGGTTTGAAGGCTAAAAACACTTGCTATTTATGTTAAACACAAATAAACTAGATCTGGTTCTTAAACAATAAAGGTTCTTCTCATATCCAGATTTGGCCTTGAGCGAATTGAACTTACATAATTCTTATATCAAAGAATGACCCAATTATAATTTGATATGCTCAATAAAATATAGGAAATCATTATAAAATAAAATTCTCATAACGTAGTTGTGAACTGCTGAGTCGCGCTTCTTTGTGCCTACAATGTGCCGTGACGCTTATTATAAACATAATAGGCCTTTTTTCCATGAATATTACAAACTAAATTCAAACACAAAAATAAGACTTACTTTAAAATTTCACAAAAAAAGTGACATTTTCGTGCCTTACTTTGCATCTACGACTGTTGTGATTGTTCGCTCTATCCCTTGAAAATCAACGTGTTGAACGTGTTGCCCTTGAGTCGACATGTTGGTTGTCTAGCCCCGAGAATTGACCTGCAGAATAATAACTTAAAAGAACTAAAAACATGTTAATAGCTTGAGACGCGTCAGACGCTCTCTTAAGGAATTATTTCCGACGTACGGAAATTTCCTCCAAGATACAACGAGCTCTTCGGTTATGAAACCGGTACCAGAACTAACGAGAAGAAAATATTATATGAACCCAGCAATAAAAATATTTTATTGAATATCACTTATATGATTATTATATAATAGTATATAAAATGTGTTTCCCCAATAGCATGAAGCTAATTCTTCCTTATAGGAGCACCCATGGAGCAAGTATGTACTATGTATATATACATGTAATCCTCTCAAAGTTTCATACCTAACAACATGTATATGTGAGCATATATATACATATTAAGAAATCATAATATAAAATGTCAACCATTAAAAATATTTAATAATAGTAATAATTATAATTAATAATATTAAAGAACAAAGATTATCAAACGTTGGTCGGCTTTGATATCTTAGTAACTGGCCATTAGAAAATTATCACAACAATTATGAATAGTTATAAAACATAATGAATGAATTAAAAATCATTTACATAATAAATTATAAATTAAAATACTTAAATGCAAAAGGCTATTCATTTGAAATATTCCCAAATTTCCAACAATCCCCCACTTATTTCAAATGAATAATTTTTAATTATTTAAAATTAGCAATTTCTTATTGGGTTGATATATGGGTGAGGTTTTTCAATCTGGTGTCCGTAGACTAGACGCCTAAGGACCTGTTTACTTTGCCGTGTAAAGCAACGTTAGCTTAGTAACACAGGCTGAAGTAAACATCCTTGTAAAATAAAACAGTGCTTACTAAGTATTCTATCCGCTTAAAATGTCGCGTATTAAAACATGGAGCCCCCCATGTATTAAATAGCCGGCGACTTAAGCATTTTGAGATGACAACCTTACCCTTCTATATTAAAATAAGGGAAAATGGAAACTAATAATCCAACCTTTTAGCGGTCTTCTTTCAATAATCCCACCTTTTGATTATTCATGAATAATCCAATCTTTGCACCTCATCTTCATTCACTGGTCCCTAATCGGTTAATCACTTACTATTTCAAGTTATTTTTTATCTTTGTAAAATATTATCTTTGTGAAAGATGAGATTTATGGTATAATGATTTGCAAAGATAAGTAAATAGCTTGGAATAGCAGGTCATCAACCGGTCAGGGACCAGTGAATGAAGATGAGGCACAAAGGTTGGATTATTCATGAATAACCCAAAGGTTGGATTATTGTAAGAAGACCGCTAAAAGGTTGGATTATTAGTTTCCACTTTGAGTCTTTGTAGAGGGCAAATGAGGAGTACACCATTGGTATCTATCTTTTCCGGTCGCCTCCCTCTGCCTCGTATACTGCTAGACTAGAATCTATTGCTTTCTACTAGGACATTGATGCCCTCATGCCCAGATGACTTTCTCCAAACGAGTTATATGTCCGAATTGAAATTGTGTGCCATGTTTAGATTTCTTTATCACCTTTAGGTTTTTCACTTGGAAGAATTTTCAAATGGATCTAAACTTTTTCATGCAAAAATGCTCCGCAAGTATGTTTTGATTGGGACCTGAAAGTACCTAAGAGAGTAAAATTGATAAAAGAAGATAGAATGGAGCAATTGAATCTTCAAAGTAAAATTTCCAGATCTTTCCAAAGGAGATTATCTCAAATAAATCTAGACTCTTTCGGCACACATAAAGATCTTCTTACATTTGTGAATCTTTAGGAAAAAAGATAATGAGTAGATGAAAAGGGGAATACGAGAGACTATCGGGGGGCTGAGTATGCCTAGATAAAGCGAAAGAGGAAAATCGTGCACGGAGGTTATTATTTGGGAAGAAGGAGGTTATTTTTGACTTTTAAATTTGAAGCATAATTTAATCCGTGTGAAGTAAACATTTGTTTACTAAGCAAGTTTTATTAAGCAATGGCTAGATAACGCAGAGTTTAGTAATCACAGTTTACTAAGAAATGAAGTAAACATGTCCTAAGTCTTTAAATACCGAGTTTATTGGTGAATCGTCTAGTTTCTATGAACCAATAATCTACTTTAGTAAGTCAGTCTCTTAGGGAATCATTTTTCACCCCACCTTTCTCGTCGTTAATGCCATTGTGCGCCTCTAGGTCATGCACATGCTTGGTTTTATTGAGTGCTCTAGAAGCGTTGTCAATGCTTCATGGAGGCGGCCCCACCTCTCACTCATATAGGTGACCTCATCAAGTGTGTCACGCATTTAACACACCACCCGTAAGGGCTATGACAATTATTAAGAACTTTAGGTCAACCTCACAAAGAAATGCAGTCTAGTCTTCCACAGTCCACACCAAAGAAATAGACTTTTTACAAGACTAGTAGAACAAATAGAAAACTTGTTATTATCCATTTGAACTTGATTTATGGGATCTCCAATCACACAAGTTGGGTTCCCATCCGTATATGTTGTCAAAGTGACATTAGTCCATTTTCCTCAATGTTTAAATTGATCATTTAACGTCCTAGGGATTCTATTAAAGGAGTAGCTAATTCCTTTTAACTTCATAAAATTAATGGAACAATTCCATGCTTCAAAGTCATTTAGACAATTTATATTTCTCAAACATCATTGCACCACCTTTTCAGGGTGAATGAAAATCCACTATTTTATATTATCTCATGTGAGTCGACTCAGATGCCATTGTTGTATCCCGACAATACAGTACAACGGATAACTCTTAATAAGAAATAACATCGATGCGACCCTCTAGTACATCGAATAATTCTCAATAAAATATATACCACCACTGTATCATTATAGTGCGATAGATATTTCTCATATAACATCATTGTACCGCTTTAGTACAATGGACATTATATTTCTCAATAAAACATATCATCGTTGTATTAATATATTACAACGGATAATCTCAACCAAATGTAGCATCATTAATGATACCTCTCAAATATCTCAAAAACCTTTTAAGGTACTCCATTATCATATCCCATTTGGATTTTCATATATTGGCTCAATCTTCTGACATTTTAAAATATGGCTGGTCACACATATTTTTTTAATTGTAACAAACTCACACACATTTTTTTAACATACTTATTGAGCCTTGAAATCACATAATGTTTTTTGGTTTTAATATCGTATTAAAGTCATAAGGGATATTCACATTTTAACACTAAAATGAACTTGTTAATAAGTTTCTCAATAAACTACCACCTCTTACGGCTTAGTACTCAAATTATATTCATATATAAACTCAATATACCTACTCAAATAATCATATAAAAATTCCAACAACAAATAATCACACATGCATCATTTAGTGCGTAGACATTTTTCCATATTCATCACATTATTAATCTCAAAGATAATATAGTTTAAAGTATTGCACACTAGCACACTAATTCTTCAATTTAAGAAAACCGTATAAAAGTCCAGAATTTTAGGGCTTAATACCACTTTTTATATCTAAATTTTGGTGCATACGCTATTCACATATTCAAATATTCACATATTCCAATGTCAAAATTTCAGAACAGATTTTAGTTCTCAATAAAAGTCCAGAATTTATGCTCCATGTAAATATTAATTGAAAATAGTAATAATTGGTAAGACCATTGAAATGTTCCAGACAGATTCAAAACTAGCACAACCATGCATTCACAGGCCTTACATTTTTGTCATATACTTCATCCGTTCTTAAATAAGTGCAACAACCAACATTTCACACTTGTCAAGACACAATTTTGACCATTAATATATATAATTCTTTATTAGTAACAAAAATTAAAAAATAGATTTTGAAAATTTAAAATGAGACAAATTTAACAATATTTTTTTCAAGAAAATATATTAATACATTATTTAATTAAACGTAGTCAAAGTACAACATGTGAATAGTGTAAAATTCAACATGTTGCACTTATTAAAGAACGGAGGTAGTAAGATTTAATATGAAATCTTAAATTAAATTTATAAAAGAAGTTGGCAGTTAGCACAGCCACGAATATAGCGCAGCCTTGTTCACATTTTCATGCTCTTTTCGTTACATGTGACATAATGATATGCAAAAACGAAGCAACTGTACAGCTTTCTATACACATTCTTTCTTTTTCTTTTTTATACTTTGACTGTCTGACCCTTGGCTATATAAATTCACATTTAAAGGTGATCTCTTCGACTCTTCACTAGCTGCTTTAGCGTCACTGAAGTTGAAAGATTCTAAGAAAGGGCGACATGAAGCGACAAATGGACGATGACTGCCCACAGCAAGTGACCAAAGACCCGAAGTTAATCAAACTATCGAAGCCTCTTCCAAGGTATATCTATATCTTCCATTTTTATGCTGTCAGATTTTCTTTCACGTTTCTAATCTTTTTTTAAATAAAAAGTATCAACAAATTACCCATTAATAGCACACGTGTTGTTGTTCTTGCCAGCCAAACCAGACTACTAAACCTGGCCCAGTGTGTTCATTTTTGCTTACCAAGTGTATTCATTAAACTGCACTTTTAATCTGTTTTTCTCTTCTTGTGCACTATATGTAGCTATGGAAAGTTATGTAAGCGAATTGAAGTTGAATATTAAGTGCAATATTTTAAACTTCTTATATATTCATGCAACCTTGAACCCAGTGGTGGAGACACGGCAGGGCCTCTGCCCCCATGAAAAAAATTCTTATGGGTATATACAATATGTCTATATATGTATCAATGTAAATTTGTTGATGGTTTAAGCTTTGTCCCCGCAATATGAAATTTTCAAGCCTGGCTTTCCTAATACCACTTCTGGCTCGGCCGCTGCTTGAAGCAGGACAGACCATCACCCATTGAATGGTGTGGATGAGCAGGCAGTTGCACCTCCTCCTCCTTCCAATGTAAACGCTGCAGGAGTGGTTCTTCCTAGACAGATAAGAATGTCCCGTGGAAACATCCGAGCTAACTCTCGGGCTAAAGTTTGCGCCTTTTATGTTCCTGATGATTGGAAATCTTATGGAGGGGATGTCTTTGCATTAGCTCTGGACAAGGCTGCTGAGACAAGTGACGATCTCTGTCTTTGTACAAATGTTGCCTGCGTTCTTCGTATCGTTCTTCCCGATTTGAAGGACGAGTTGCTCAATGCTCTTTATCAGCTAGGTGTATCTCCTATGGTTGTTTCTATCCCTTCCCAAGCCGATGAACACCTGATTACCTTTGATGACATCCCGGAATACGACTGGCCAAATATTTTAGTTAGGGGTGCCTTTTGCATTTTCACACTGTTCAGGACTGTTTCTCCAGCCCACTACACCCAATGTATGTTGAAGAGGTTTGAGGCACTAAAAAGTATTGTAGGATGTGTCCCTAATGCTGAGATCCCTATTCCTCTAAACCAGTCCAAGGCTAGCATTCTGCGTATGAAGCTCGGATCAAACCGGGCACTCATAAAGAGGACAATCGAACTGATTCTTGGTTTCAAGAATGGGTATCAAAGCATTGCTTCTGTCATGAGGTATGTAGCCAAAATCCTGTCCTACAATGTCAGGGATGATTTTACATTCATATATTATACCTTCGGGAAATACGAATCGCCCGTGCTGAGTGACCCGAGAGTGGAACAAGAGGTCGTAAAACTTGAAGAGGCTCTTGAATTGATGAAAGATTCAGATTACCCGCAGTTCACTCGATACCTGGCTTCCACTGCTGACTTATTCAAGCTGGAGGGGTCTAGATTCCCTACTTTGATGTCTGTTGCACAAAAGATCAAAGCTGAGGAGCAGCGATCGGGTGTATTATCGGGTAGTGAAACTAATCACTACCAATTTGTTCTATCCAAGTCTTTCGGTGCTGATAAAGACCTTGTTAAGGACCTGTGCCGGATTCATTCTGCTGGCATGGCAGAAAAACAAAGAAGTATGGTCGAGTGGTTAACAACTGATTTAGAAGATTTTTGAGCGCTTCTCGTTGTTTGATGGCTTGCGAGATCACTAAGATACTAACATAAAAGTCGGGGCATTGTGGAATTAGTAGTGACTAGTGAATGATTTTGATGTTTGTTGGATGTTTCCTTTTGGCATTGCTATCACTATGTTGAGTAATGTACTTAGTTTTGCAGACATTCATGATTCTATAACTTGAGGACTTTTTGCTGCTCTTAGGAGGTGGCTTAGCTTTTTGGTTGTTCTATCTAATATTCTGTTGTCTGGCTGTGCTCGGCTAGTTTCTTAGTTTAACTGACCATGTACTTGGGTTTTACCATGTAAAACTTTCGAGTTTTTGTCATTTTTTAGTACTCAATTTTCAACTTTTTTTTAATTGGTTAATGTGAGAATGACACTTTTAATCATTGACTTCAAAATTTCTCACATTTGATGTTTGAGTATTGTGAAATAAACCCATTTGGTCCTTTCAATGTGATTGTGGCATAATAAGCGTAAGGCTAGACCCCGTTTGGTAGCACGAAAATCGGTTGATTTGGCTGATTCTGCTGAAATTTATGAAGTTCTGGCTGAAGTGGCTACATTGGCTGATTCTGCTGACTTAAGAAAAAAATATTTTTAAAATATACTCCGTATTTTATTAATCAAATAAAGAGAAAATTATATGTAAAAATGGCTAAAATGGTAAGCTACAGTAACTTCTGCAAATACAGTCAGAAAAGTAATTCCAACCTTACTTTTCTGCTTATTACACAATTCAGCGCGTGAAAGCAAAAATTACGTGTTTGGTGAAAAAGTTGACTGATAAGCCTGATAAGTCGAAAACAGTGTTGCCAAACGACCTCTAAAAATGTTACTATGATAATAATTGAAGGAAAAATAATGTCATTGTGAAGGTCGTATGACTAAATATGAAAAGTTGCAAAACGGATATCAAAAAGTGTCTTTTGCATAATTAAGGGACTAATAGTGAAAATATTCTAAGGTAAAGTATCGAGACTGTCACTACTCACTAACATACTCATCCAGTCATCGATTATGCATGCCCATCCACAATAATTGTATATTATTATTGGTTCACAAATGTTTATCTTCAAGAATAATAAACAAATAGGTGCTCTCTGACTCACTGATTGCTCGTTAAAACCCCCTCCTATGTTACTGCTCGTAGCCGGCCACTTTTTACCTAGTCTATTTCATTTTTTATGATAATGAGTCAATGACTTGTATTAATTGTTAGACAAGTATTATAGGTTAAATTAAACAAAGTGAGTTTGTAGGGTTTATCACTACAAAAATCTGAAACATTTAGTTTAGTTTTTGGCAAAATAAGAATCTCATCAAACATCAAACAAATTGAAAGAAGTGTTAATGATTGCTTGTACTTTGTCAAAATGATTTTCAAGATTTTGAAGTTTAATCATAAAATATCGTTCGAGAAAAAAGTTCTTTTGAAAAAGAAAAAGTTATGTTTGATAAAAATGTTTTTTGCCTAACACAAAAGAGTTTAAAGTACTCTTATGCAAGTTTTCATTTTATAGCTTTTAAGTGTTTAACTTAAACATAAATTGTCGTTTTAAAACACTCATTTTCAACATCTTAATGCAAAAATTGAATTTTCTTTTCTTTAAAGTTTTAATAAACATTCCTTCACCTCATCTTTACCATATACTCGTATACTTTCTTCTTCGTATCATTCTTATCTTCTCGCATTCCTTTTTCGGTCGTAACATTCATATTTTCTCATTTCTAAATCTTCTCATCATACCCTCAATAACTTTGAAAATAATACAGTATTACAACTACATTTTTTTGAATTTATCCTTCATTCTAGCTCACTATTTCATTATCTTTTCGTCATATCTCAATAGTTTATATCCTTTATTTAGTTCACTATTAGGAAGATATAAATATAAACCTTGGGTGTGCAGTCCGAAATAATAAAAGTCTTCCCACCGGTGGGCGTAGCTCAACTGGTAGCAAGGGAGTGCCACAAGGGTTAGGTCTCGGGTTCGAATCTCGGCAACTGCGATGAGGGGTTACTATGCTAAAAAATGCATAGGGCCTCTGCAAGTACCGGAGACAGAGCATCACTCTCTATCTGTCAGATTGTGATTATAGTCCAATTTACATCCTCCCATCATGCCGTCCGGTCGGTGTTGGGGGGCCCTCAGGGATGGGGTGTTATTTTTTTTTTTATAAATAAAAGTCTTCCCCTGTTTTGGCTATTTAATGAATGGTTGGGATTAGATGAATTAATAGACACATGCAAGTATGCAACTACTCCATCCATTCGAAAACCCCACGCTGCCTATAGATCCATCCACTTTATAATATTCAAAGCCAGCCGCCATTACTGACTACCGACCTCCGCCAAGCATACCTGCTCATTCTCCGGCGAACCACCATAATTGAAAAAACAACCAAGAAATTGTACTAGCTCATTGTCACAATTTTCTTTTTTGTTCCTTATCCATTAAAATTGTTTCACACAAATTTGTGTGATTATAAATCATTCTTACTTTATTATTACTTCGTTAATACAAATAAAAAAGCCGTGTCTGGTGTACATATTTTCCGTATACATCTTTAGCACACTGGTCTTAAACAAATAACTCTGTCTGCGTAAACAGACAAGTGTACCAAAGGTATACACAAAAAACGTGTACATCAAACATTTTCATGTCAACCATATAAACTTACTTTTCTTAATAATCACATCATTTCAATGTGTTAATGTTATTCCCACAAATCCATAAATCCAGAAGGCCCAATTTTTAATAGTCCTCCTACTATTATAACCTACTCAAAGCCCAATAGTTATTCCCATGCTACATTAAAAATGATAAAGCCAGGGGATTCGAACCCTGGCTACTCTCTAAAACATGCAGACCGTATGCCATCTCAACTGATTGGTGGTTGTTAACATTCATTCAGTTTTCGTTTTTATATCATACAATGATTAATATTAACTTTACTAATTGATATTAATTTGTAATTTTAATAGTAACTATATATTAATTTATAAAAATGTTCATTAACTATGAAATTCTCATTAATAGTAACTAAATGATATTTATGAAATGCTCATTACGTTTATCAATTTTATTTATAAATTATCCATTAATTACAAACACATCTTAAATTTATGACTATTATATAAACTGATACATTATTTTTTAATTTATTCTTATAACCATTGATAAATTTTTGAATGAGAGTTATTTTTTAATATCTTCTTTTTTCGATACACATTGACTGGATTGACATCGGACTGATCCTTCCGAGTCCAGTATTGATTGCTTGTCCGAGTTGAATTGTCTCAATATCTGGTTTTAACAACATAGTGTATTTGCGTGTTTCCAATTCGAAGCTTGAAGCTCTTCCCCAAGATTCAGCCCCACACACCCATGTGATATGCCCTTTTCTCCAATTAATGGAATGATAAACGGTCTAATTTTAGATTTGATTATTCTCTTTGGTTTTATAGAATGCGGAGTAATAATCTTATTTCTTATATTTTGTAATTTATATTGTTCTTTTTTCGGTTTTGATTCCAAGTTTGAATGCTTTAGTACGTAGGTAATTATTTTTGGATGGTTTTGTAATAATTGAACTTGGCGAATCACCAAGTTCAAGTATTAGGTTATTAGTCTATTATTTTACAATTCGCTTTAACAAATAAATGAAGTGTACTTTGTTAAGGAATACTTTTATTTTAACTATTATGTTAGTGAATAACTTATATTTTGATCTAAATTATTATTGTAGCAAATTGTTACAAATATAAAATTTAGTTATATTATATTTTTACCTCTTTTAGAAAAGGCCCACATTTTATTTTTACACAGGGCCCGTGTTTTCTCGGGACCGGCCCTGAGTAGGAGGGGCAATACTTTATTAAGAAAGACAACTCAGATTCGTTTAAAAAACACTTTCTTGGTTGACCACTTGACCTCATTAAAGTCAATCAACCCTACATAGACACACGTATTTATATAACCCTCAACTAGAGATACATTACTTGTACTATTGAAATAATTCAAATGGGAAATATTGCCAGTTCAATTTCTCCATGCTGTCTTAACACAACGTTTTCCTTTTCCCGGTCACCGGTGACGTTGACCTTCCACGACGGCACGTCCCGAATCATGACCGGGAAACGCCGCCTGACCGCCGGAGAAGTGATGTTCGAGTTCCCGGAGTGCATGGTTTGCCATGCACACTCTTTCTTCATCGGTCAACCGCTCCCGGTTCTTTCCATCGATGACGAGCTCATCGCCGGGCATACATACTTAGTCCTTCCGCTCGACGCCTTCGCGAGCAACGTCCTCTCTGTATCCTCTCTCGGGGCATTAGGGCGCAGCCCGAGACACGGAGGAGGTGGTTCCCCGCCAGTCAACTTCAAGAGCGCGGCGTTTGAACATATTAGAGGATCAAACGGTAGGGCAATGGTGAAGGTGGTGCCGGAGTTCATAGTGAACCTTATTAGTGGAGGGATTAAAGTGAGTAGTAGTGGTGGTGGAGATGAAGATAAAAATGGTGGAAAGGTTATGCTTTGTGACACGCCGGAGTTGAAGAAGGTTTATGAGCAACTGGTGGGGTCGAAAGATCAGGTATGGTCTCCGAAGCTTGATACCATTAAGGAGTACAGGTTAAGGTATTCTCCCTGCAGGTTTATAGGGTTGGAATGGAAACATAAAGAAGGGGAGGAGATATATAGCTAGTTTAATTTAAACAGCTAGAAATACATTGTTCAATATTTGGTGTATTGATCTTATACATAGATGATCCAATTGTGTAATTCTATTGTAGTTAGGCCTCAATTCTTTAATACAATTGACAATTTTACGGTAGCTGTAGCTCAATGTTACGAATTGGAAGGATTCGGTGCCGGTAACGTACACCTCCCATTAGTTTATTAGATATTGGCATATTGCCTCATATAAGGCTCAAAAAATAAGTTAATGCATATGAGAATGTATATTTTTTTTACCTTACAAGTAAATAAAACATAATTTCTTTTGATAAGAGTGACGTTGTTTTCTTCCCAGTATACACTATCCTGGACCGGCCCGAACTTTTCTTTGTCGAAGAGCAACCACACGAGGTAGCGGAGTGTCGGGAAACACTTCTCGATTTTATTAATAATATAATTTTGTGATTACAATAGAAATAAAAACAAGCCAAGAAATTAAAGTACAAAAATAAATGAAGTTACAAGTTGAGACACTAACAATTGAAATTTTGTGTGGGAATCCTCACTGAAGCGGAGAGAGTCTTCTTGTATCTGTTGTGAAGTTTGATTGCATATTTCAGATAGTGCTGGACTCGGGCCGGGCGGCCCGGCCCGGAACCGGCCCGGCCCGGTTACTGTTTGGCCCGGCCCGGCCCGGAACCCGGTGGGTCCACCGGTTCGGTTCGGCCCGGCCCGGCTGCTGGGCGGTTCGGGCCCGGGCCCAGGTTTTGGTGAACCGGCCCGGCCGGTTCGGGCCCGGTCCGGGCCGGATTTTAATTTTTTTTTTTTTTTTTGAAATTTTTTTAAGTTTTAGGTTGGATTAGGTATTTTGGGCCATTTGAGGTGGTTTGGGATGGTTTGGGGTTGAGGGGGAGGGGTAGGGGATTAAATAGGAGAACAAATAAAAAAAAAATTAATTGGGCCGGTTCGGCCCGGCCCGGTTTGGCCCGGAACCGGGACCGGAACCGGCCACCGGCGGTTCGGGCCTCCCTTTCCTGGCCCGAGGCCCGGCCGGGCCCAGGCCCGAACCGGGCCCGAACCGGCCCGAGTCCAGCACTAATTTCAGATATGGTTGGTAGGTTTCTGTTTCTGAATGTGTTGACTTGTAGCGTTTTAGTGCTTCAACCAATTTATGAGGGGAGTCAAGCCTCGTGTCAACCGGGTACAAGTAGTAGTTTGTTCATTTTGTGGGTAAAGAGAGCGGCTTTATGTGATCACGGGTGTGAGGTCCACCCCACCTCATAAAAAAGGTACTCTTAGATCTGTGTTACGGGTCTGGGCAGGGCTCTTGTGTTTGTGTTTCCGTCCATTCACCTACGTAAAGCCGTTTGGGCACTCATCCTCATTGGAATATGTAGTGTATGTACCTGAAAAAGCATGTAAAGGAGTAGTTATGTGGTCCTCATATATGATATCACAATTGGACGTGCATGGATCAAGTGTGTATGGCCGTAGTTGGATCAGAATTAATTTCAACATTTTCGATTAGAGCTTCACATAGAGTTGGTTGAATTCCACCATGGTTACCACCTTTCTACAAGTAGCCACCATGGTATCAACCGAGCATTCTATAAGTGGGACCGGCCCAAACTTATATTTAGTATTATGGGCCTAGCCTATTAGTCTAGTTCCGGCCCATGACATTGTCTAAGCCCATGAAATCTTTTCTATATATAATGAATAATAGTCTTGTAGAAGGAGAGTCTATTATTCATTATATTATACACATTACCCTATTTTGATCTTATATATATTGTATAGATATTATATAGCTCATCTCGATCTCTATTTTGATCTTATATATATTGTATAGATATTATATAACTCACTCCTATTTTGATTTTTTTTAATTATTGTTTTATTCTTTTAGAAGGAGTAAATAAGTCTTTTTTGGGGAGAATTTAAAAATATACTAAGTCTTATTTTTTTATTTTTTTCATATTTAAATAATCCTATTTTGAATGATATCACTTCTATTTAATCTTATTTGCAAGTTTTTTGTTGTTGAAAACGTCACATGTATTGAATGGTTTGATCAAATTAAAGAAAATTATTGTTCAATATTTTAATGAAATTAATTTTGAACAACCAATGTTTCATTGCAAGATTGATTGTGAAGTCGTTTGAGAGACCACCCACGCGACCAGGGGCGGAGCTAGGGGCTAATCTAGTCCCCAATTCACCCCAATTTTAAAAAATGTCTTGATTTTTTATATAAAAATCTCGTGTAAAGAAAATCTTAAAAATATTTTTTATACCGACTCAGTCCGAACCAGTGCTCTTACCGCGCCCCCTGCACATAAGGTACTAATATTATACTAACTTCATCCCAAATTGTTTTGCAAAGTCAACATTTTTGTCAACCAATTTTAAAGTCAAATCCTCTGAATTTATAATTGATTCAATTTTAATAATTAAAATCTACATATTCAGAAACTACATCAAAATCTCTATAAAGTTGCAAAATTTAAATTAAAATTTAATTAAGAATTGATATCTTAATTAAGAGAATAAAATGAGTATGTTTTGACCCAAAAAAAGTCAATTTTTGCAATTCAATTTAGAACGGGGGAGTATGATGGAAGATAACATAATGAGGATGTTTGAGAAAATGACGTTTCAGCTAAAAGGTGACAGTTTGACCTAGGCTGGGCATATCGGTATTTGGTTCGGTTTTTATCGGTTTCGGTTCAGTTTGGAACGGGTTCAATTCTAAGAATTATTACCAAACAAAAATCATACTATTTTTCAGTTTGGTTCGATTTGTTTAAGTTCGGTTTGGATTTGTTAATTTTTAATAATATATGAAGGTTTTTTTGAATATCTTTAATTCGGTTCGATTTTGTTCGGTTTTTATCGGTTTCGGTTCGGTTCGGTTTAAGGTTTGGAAGAAATAGGACCAAACTCAAACCAAATTACATACGGTCCGGTTTCGGTTAGGTTTAATTCGATTTGGTACGGTTCGGATTAGTTAAACCAAACCGTTATGTCCACCCCTAGTTTGTCCCCCCTTTAAGGTTTGCAATAAGTGAAAACGCCGTTTGTTAAATGGTTGTTCGATCCTGACTTTTTTGAACAGAACCGCTAAAATGGAATCGCTGCAAATTTGAGTTTACTTTTTTAAATTTGACATTTTCTACTAATTGTTATGGTCTCGTTAATTATAATTCTATTAATCACTGATGAGTGATGACCGAATACGTTATTAAAACCGGATACATATTTTTCTTTGAACTCGAAAAATTAGCGTGAAATTTGAATGAATATTTCACTTTAGCATTTACGGTACGTTCGTTACTCTCTGTTACAGAGTAAGGATGCATCATGCATGGAGGCTACACCTGTCTTCTTCTCAGTGCAGCAACTGCCACACCCATACCAGGCCACCTCATCTTTATCCCTTTCCTCAAACCCCATCTTCCTCTTCATTCCTTTCTTCATCAATCATACAATCCTGAAACTTAAATATGACTATTGCTTCTTAATTGGTGCGTATTATAATGAGTTGCCGTTCTGGAGGATTTTCCCCAATTCCCAGTTCTTATTTTCAGTGATAGATTATATATATGTTGGGCGTTTGGAAGTGAGAAGTGATGAAAGGGGAGGATGAAATGAAGAAGATTATAACCAGCAAAAGCCAGAGAAGATGGGTTGTGGAAAGGGGAGTGAGACTGGGAAGGAATGTTATAATGACTGCCTTTTTCGTCTCATCTGGGCCGTTGGTTCTTCCTCCGCTCATAGCCATTTCTGTGTTTGGGTTTGTGGTTTGGGTCCCTGTTGTTGTTGTGGTCGGCAGCTATGCAGCGACTGAGAAGCTCATGAGCAAGTTGCTGCCAATGCCTTCTTCGCCTTCCCCACCTCTCCTCTTGGAGGGCTGCCACCATGCTGCCACACAAGTGTCTGCAGATGAAGATTTAGCCCGTAGGGACTCCGAAGGAAGAGGGGAATGCACAGACTATGAAGAAACAAAGACCTCTGGTGAAGTGGTAGAAGGGGGAGAGAGTTTTGTGGAAGGTTGTGAAGAAAGATCAGATTTTGTTAGAAATGAAGAGAATTACAAGGCTGATGAAGTTTTCCAGCACTTGGAGGGGAAACATGAGAATCGTAAAGCCACTAATGTAGTAGATGAGAATTTGGTTGTAGTAGATGAGAATGAGAATTTGGACAAAGGATATGATGAGGAAGATGACAGAGAATACCTGAAAGGAGAAGTTGGGGACAAGAGAAGGGAGCTTGAAGATGCTGATAATGTCGATGAGAATTCAGAGAAAGAAGAGGATGAGGAAGATGCCTGTGAATGCACAGAGGGAGTTAGGAAAGGGAATGCCATTGATGTAATTTCGGAAGAAGAGGGTTATATGGAGGAGGTTGGTGAAAACTTCCTGGAGGGAGAGCATGAGGACGACATATATGATGAAAAATTGGAGACGGGTTCTGAGGAAGTTGGCGAGTCCTTGGAGGGAGAAGGAGATGGCAAGAGGATTATTACCATTATTGATGAGGATTTGAAAGAAGAACATTATGCGAGGGAAGTTGGTGGACCTTTGGATGGACAAAATGAGGATGAAATTAAAGATGAGATTTTAGAGAAGACATCCTATGATGAGGAGGATTTTGGGGAATGTGTGGAGGGAGAACATGAGAAGGAGAAAGAGGCCAATACATACGAGTACTTGAAGGAAGGTTGCGACACGAAAGAGGCTACCACTTCTGTCAGTTTGAAAGAGGGTTATCATGTGAAGGACATAAGCAAGAACTTAGATGGAGAACGAGATGTGGATTTGGAGAAGGGTTACGAGGAGGATGTTGATGAATGCTTGGAGGAAGAACAAGGAGATGTGGAAAAGATTCCCATTGAAGGGGATGTGAAAGAAGAAGAAAAAGAAGATTACATGGAGGAAGTTGATGAATACTCAGATACAAAAGATGAGAATTTGGAGAAAGATTATAAGGAGCATGATGTAGAATACTTGGGGGTAGAACAAGGAATCGGGGAAGTAATTCGCATTGATCAAACCCTAGAGAAAGGTTATGAGGGGGAGGAGGAATACTTGGAGGTTGAACAAGGAGATGGGAAAGAAATTACTACTGATGAAAACATGGAGAGTGGTTATGAGGAGGATGATGAGGAATACTTAGAGGTAGAACAAGGAGATGGAAAAGTAATTACCACTGATGAAACGGCCTTAGATAAAGGTTATGGGGAGGATGATGATGAGGAACACATAGAGGGGGGAGAAGAAGGGCGCAAAATAGATGTTACCATTGATTCGAATTTGAAAGAGGATGAAGAGGACGTTGGCAAACGCTTAGAGGGAGAGCTTGAGGAAAATAAAGAGATTAGCAATGATCATAGCTTGAAAGATGAAAGCTATGGAGAAGAGGCCATTCAGCAGTACTTAGAAGGAGAAGAGCCTGAGGAAACAGCCACTGAGATGAAGATTAAAGGACTGTTAGAAGTGGTGTCAAGGAGAGATAGCGAAAATAATGATGATGACAATAAAGTAGGAAACAGTGAAGCAGATCACAGTTTTGAGGAAGAGGATGCGAAAATGGATAAATCTGAAGAACCGGCTGAGACTATTCCAACACAAGATGACATTACAACAGAAACTAAGAAGCCAATTGCGGGAGAAGATTTCAAAAAACATCATGTGAAGAAGGACCAATCCTTGTTGATCAACGAGGAAAATCTTGTTCAGGAGGATGTTTCTTCTAGCACAGAGGAACCCCAACAGAAGGGTTCTGAATCCAGTATTGATGAAACAGAAACTGCCACGGCCAACGAAAGCACCACCCTTTCTGGTAGAGTTTTGGCCTTCCTGATGTGTGTATTCATGTATAGTGCACACAATTCTGTTCTGTTTCGGTTTTTCAATTTCACTCATTAGGCGGGCATGTTCTTCCCTTTTGAGCAGATAAAGGAAATGCAGCAGTGAAGCAGCAGGATACACCAGGAGGATTGCACCCATCAGAACATTATGTGACCAAAACTAACGCCGGTGCACAGGAGCCATCATCCAGTGAGGTCAGTGCATAACAGATCACCATTCCCTCAACCTTTTCTGTTAAAATGATAATAATATCTTAGTACTTCATGTGTCCATTTTTGTTAGATACACTCCGTCGTGTTATCTGTTTTGCGTTGCTAATATTTTATCACTAGCTTTTTGGTTTCCCATCTTATGCTTTTGTCTGTTATGTCATATTTTACTTTTTAGGACTCACTACCTTTTCTTCTTTATTATACAGAAGGTTACAATTGTGATATAACAATGATCTCCTTTATGCACTCAAATGTAGTTTACATTTTGAACTGATGGAGGGAGTGAGGGACTAATTGTTGCTGTCAATGTGGTGCTAGGACATCGACATAAGTGAGAAGATATGGGAGCAGGTGTGTGCACTAAGGGCAATCTTGGGATACACAGATGCAACTCAATCATCCACTGTGGATGAAATAAAAGCTCTTTTTGTGTTCATTGGAGTTGAACCACCACCATCATTCAATGACCCTTCAGACCTCATAAATGTCAATGAGATGCTCAGGATTTTAATGTCAATTGTAGGAATCAAATAGACAGCATTGGCTCTTTTACTGGTCTTTATCCAAACGTCTTCGAAGTACTCACTTTGTAGGATTTTTTTGCTTGGGTACCCAGACTTCTTATTGATTCAGAATCTTTTGTTAATTGAATTCATATAGCTCTGCTTCTTGAGCTTATTGGGTTACCAAAGTTTGATGTTGCATTTTATGATATGAAAATGCTATCATTGTGGTGTCATTTTAATAAAATTTCATTTCTAGTATTATGATAGAAGTTTTAACTGCCATTGGCATGTTTTAGTACAATTCTTCTTTCAGCACAAGTTTACCCAATTTAGGTAATCTAGCTGAATCTGTGTCACTGTTAAGTATTACTATTAGTCTTGTTTTGATTTGATACAATTTTTAATAAAGTGGTTGAAAGTGTAAAAATTGTGAAAGTACGAAATAAAATGTTGTGAACTACATTTTTCTTTCTAAAAGGAAATATGATATTTATTTCGAAACAATCCAAAAAGAAAGAGATAAAAATGGGACAAACGGAAGTATTATTTATTAACAGTGTCTTATTTCAGGTTAGTGTTCAAATTTGATCTAATTGAGAGAGTAAGTTTCACAAGTGCAACATTGCAGCGTGTATACTTAACCAGCTAGTGGCCGGAGCTATTATTTTCATACAAATCTTTACGCTTTTTACTGCCTATAGAGTTCATCAGTTGAGCAGTCAGAAATAGATGAATTGACCATGACGTACCTAGTGTGCAGTCATATGCAGTTTGACTTCGATGATTTCCAAAATGAAAAATGGACCATTAAATTTAAAACTTTATACACATAAAATTCATAATGAAATGATCTCTGAACTATATATACAAAAATATAATTTTTAAATAATTAGGGACGTTCCCATAGCTAGAGGTAAGAGCAACCAAAGAAAGGTATAAAACAAAAAAGAAGTGCGAAGAGCCAAAGACTCACAAGCTTATGATTTTAAAGCTTATCTTATTATCTTCAATGAAAATATTACATGAAACAGAGGTGGGATATTTCCAGTTCTTTAGAGATGAAAGTAAATGACTCAGCATCAATATGGGCATGATTGCTTTCAGGGAAGGCAAAAGCATCGTAATAGAGAGGGACAGTGTGAGGTTTTACTAAGCTGAGTTTTGAGATGGCGTGATCGTTTAGATTTAGCTTTGGAATTGTCCGAAGGAAACTGCTTGTAGAAAGCCTCCACAGCTCCTCTCGCCCCGTCCTCATTTTCCATCGCTTTTGCCAGCTCAGTTGCCCGCTCTTTCACCTGCATCTTAAGTTCATTACACATCCGCCAGTAGAAAATTTTGAAAAATAAGATAGCTTATCTTTACTATCTCAAACTGAGAGTAGGACTCCTAACAAGCTCCAAGCAGAATACGTAACTTTTCACATATCCAGTTAGATGGCTGAAATAGATTTTTCTAAACCTTTCACTTCCAAAAACTCAGCACATTGTAATTGCCAGTCTCATGAAGTTCTTTTTTTTTTGTTTGAATAAAAGTTCTAATGGGAATTTTCAATTTCAGCCACCAATCCAAGTGTTTTGAAAGATATCAAACATTCAAACTTAAATGAAGAAGAAAAAACACCCCACACCTTTGGATCTAGCATGAATTCAATGGCAGAGACCAGCCTTTCGAGTGAGAACTCATCCACAGGGATGGGAGCAGGACCTACACCCCTAGCATGTACACGGTCGCCCCAAAAAGGTTGGTCCCCAAAAAAAGGCACCACAGTTGTTGGACACTACAAATGAATCAGCCAGTATCAACAACACAGTTACCAGGAAACGATTCATGGTTATTTTATTTTGTACATCTTGTAAGGGTTACCGCAGCTTTAAGACCAGCGGCAGTTGTTCCTGCACCACCGTGATGCACCTGCACAGTTCATCATAAAATCTAAAACATTTTAGAACGTTGTTGGACAACTCATTTGTGATGTCACTATTACAGTCATATCAATCATCTTGGGCGTGGTGGTGGTAGGATGTAGTCCCTTAGTCATGTCCAGATTTTGAAGCTTTATACGGTCCTTATCATCTGTCCATTTCTTAAATCTATGACACATAAATGAAAGTGCTTTGGAAAGCATGGAAATGAATTAGAAACCCTTGCATTAAATGTGAAAACAAATGCAAATAGTGTGATTTTGGTAAGTCAGATTTGATTTAAATGCTTTATGCAAATTATATAACCCATGTGGTTTAAATGAAATGGACAACATAAATAGGACCACAAGTAGTAGCTTAGTAGTATGCTACAGTAGACAATACAATCAGCTAAGAGAAGAGGGTGTTACCACAGCAGCACATCGGACAAACAGCCAATCGTGAGGGCAGTTATCCAATACATAAACAAAATTCTTTGGCTCTGTCACTGAGATAAAAAGAGCTCTTTTATCGGAAAATCTCAAGTCCAATCTTCTTCACCTATAGCTATTACTCAGAGATAAAAGTGTTATGCTTGCACGAGGAAAACAATAAAGATAATGAGCTACTTACAATTCCCCAGGCCACCCCATCCTTTGTTAATTATGCCTCTCTGTCCAGTCATTTCCAATGCCTGAACAATTGTCTTTGTCATTCTCTCTGGTTCTTGAACAGGCTGCAAGATTGCAGCTCATATAATATTTTGCATTGGGCTAAGAATATCAATTTTCTAGAAGTTGTGTTAAGTAGTTATGTGATACACTCATACATCAAGATAAAATTGACCTGGCATGTTATTTATTTTGGAACACAAACCCTTATACCTTGGCATCAGTTTGTGACTAGGAATGGCACTTTTGAGCAAAACGTCATAATTTTATCCTGGAATTATAAAAATGACACGGCCTAAAAGAAAAGGCAGGATTCTATCTATTTAGTATATTACACCTTTGGAAATGCCAAAAAGTGAACTGGTTAACTTTTTGGAAGGAAGAAATTTTCAAAATATAAATGTAAACTTAGTTGTGTGTTATGTGTAAGTTGAAATTTGAGGAATCTGTGTGAAATAAGTGGTGAGTGCGAACTTACAAGACTACCAAAGCCAATGTAAATGGGCTTTTGACCATCTTCAAGCCACTTCACAAGTGGTTCTGGCGGATCAAAATTAGAAGCGAGGTCTAGAAAACAAAAGCCCACTACATCAATTTTTGGCCCCCAATCTGCGAAACATGAAAAGGTGGGCTTATTAGTATACAACCACTATAATAACGCATGTAGCATTGTACCACATTCTGCACTCATGAAAGAACATGCCTATATAAAATGGACAAAAGATCACATAAAGAGGGCAGGCAAAAGGAAAGCAAATTAATGGTTAACATGCATGGTATAGATCAATGACATAGTGAACTACGACATATTCAATTTAAAGAAACATTAGAACTCAAATTTCTTTGACCTATTAACAAATATTAATAAATGTGCCATCAACAATACATTCCCGTTAATATTCATTTCCCTCAGTTATAAAATGTGTATGGAAGCAAATTTGTAATGGAAAGATGGGAGAAATGACCTTTAGGTTTGGGAACAAGATGCGGACTCCAGATATACCCATGTGGGATGTCAGATGATGAACTGTAGGAGTCACTCAAATATGTAGTCGGCCTTAGTTTCAATTTTTTCTTTCTGAAGCCATTAATCACATCCCGTATGCCCATCCAGATTAATCCATCAACGATTTGATATGACAACTGAAAGAAAACTTAAATCTTTTAAATATATGACAGTGGGGAAAAATAAAAAACTGGGTATATGTATGAGGAGGCAGGGACAAAAAAAGCAGACTTTGTATGCAACTGCCTGTGAAGCACGATAAAGAGGATGTGGGAATTCACTTGTAGGCCTGTATGAGAGCACCGTGAAAAAAATCATCATAAGAAACTCTAAAATGTTTTGTAAATGAAATAAAATGCAATCATGCAACATTGTTGACTATTAAATTTGCTATCTTTGTGCGAAGAGAAAAAACTGAATGATAGAAAACACTTACGTCCATGGCATTGTGAAAAATACATGCAAAGGTACTCCCAATGCTTCTGCAACATCATTATGCCCTTAAACAAACAAGTCATATACAACAAAAAATTACTTGTTACCGACAACAAATACATGGCACATCTAGTTTATGACTTTATGTTATATACTTACCATATGCTGGAGGGTTGGCAATGATGGCATCTACCTCGAATGGGATATTCGATTCTTGATCAGGCTCTACACATGCAGGAAGCAAAGAGAATACAATATCTTTTATTTGCTTGCGCTGAATTTTTATTTCAGAAGGTCCGGATGGAAAGAAACCTTTATTTTTTACCATATCTGCATAAGCCGAGCAATACTATCAACTTTTGTTGACTGAATATGAATTCAACATAACTTGTATGAATTCTGATTAAAGATAAAAAAAGAACAAAAGATTAAAAAATGAAGGTGAAACATTCATTTTCCAAAATCACAAAAAAAGCTGTTGATGGACACTTCATAGAAAAAGCATAGAAACAGCATGTTTCTTTCTTTAAAAATCACAAACATTCATAGAAATGAAGGTGAAACATTCATTGTCCAAAATCACAAACAATGCTGTTAATTCATAGAAATCAATTAACTTCCAAAATAAACCTCTGGAAATAAAAGCAAGTGGGATAGGATCTTTTTTTAATGAGCAAGGGGGATTCAAAACAGCACGTTTTCAATCTCAAAACAAAAGCAGATAAACAGCGCTGTATGGAATTGATTCCGCTTCTTCTTTCTAGGGGCACCTAGACTTACCCAGACCCAAATCCAGACCCCGCCCAGACCTTTTAAACTCCATATTACATTTATATTTAATAAATGTCATTTTAACGTTCAGAAGCGAAAGCAGCTTCTCAAAAACTGCTTCTAGAGAGCAATTAGAAGCGGTTAAAATTACTTCTACTCTTCGAAGGAGCAGAAGTAGTTTAAACTTTGAAGAAGTAGATCCAAGCACCCCATTATAGATCCATTATATCCAGTCTCAGCCCTTTTTTGTGTTACTTGTTAAACATGGGGTAAATTGACACACTTTCTTGCATTTTTGCTGTGTTTCAGTTTGTAGAAGAATTTTAGTGTTCAAGTAGATGAATCGGAATATTGGACCAATTCGGAGATAAGAGGGAAGCCAAAGAAATAATTAGAGGAACGGATGGACATGCATTATGACCGTCTTTCAGTCATAAGTCTCTCCTAGTAAAAGTGAAAAAAAAATAGAGTTAGCCCGTGGCAAGGATGGAGAACAGATGACTGTCCTTTGGGTCCATTAAGAGTTAAGACCATCATTCGAAGCACAGAAAAACTGAAAGCATAAGTAAGAAGAAATAAAGACTTGGGAAATTGGAGAACTGCAAGCTGGACAGCTGTCCAGTTGGCTGTCCCATGCAAAAGTGAGTTGAGTATAAACTGTAGTCCAGATCGTGAGTTTGACATCTTGCTCCTTTTTTCGATCGACGCCGCACAAAATATAAATTAAGGGATAAAGTTTTAACATTTCCTTGCTTCCAAACATCAATCTTGAGGTTTAAAACTAGTGCTTATTCGTAGGTTCCTACAAAAAATTCTACTTCTAGTTCTTAATAAGCTTATTAAGTGCCAAACGTCATGAGCTTTTGTAGTTGAAATATTTATTTAAAATTTTGAATTTACTTATGAATGCTGTCATAATTTTTTATTTATTACTTTGATTTCATCACTATCATGCTTGGATAAATCCTAGGATTCTAGGATCTTGAGAGTTAAACTAAACCAGGGTCTTTTCCCCCATTGTGAGGAACTGTTGAATCAGATGAATTGTATATGTAAACTAAGAAATTAGCCTATTCACTTATGAGCCCTAGGAAAACAGACTCTTACTTTGTCCATGAAATGGGGATTAACTTAACCCACTCTCACACACCCTACACTACGACAGTAAGACTAGATATAGGACATATTAGAGGAACTGAAATCATATCTTGTGGATACAACAACAATAACAACATCCAAGCCTTAGTCCCAAATGATATTGAAATCACATCTTGTGGATAAGAATTAAAATTCAATTCAATGAAGATAGGTAGGAATTTTTCAAAGTCATTAAACCCACGAAAACCCGAGACCCTATATACCAATTCCAAACCTTCTGGATTCTTCAGTCAAAATTATTACATTGTCCCTGCATCATAGTTATTCTATGTATATACTTGTTAATTTTTCCAAAAATTATTGGTTGAAAGCTTTTAATACTTTTTTAAATTAACAGATGAGTCATGAGTGGCACTGAATCAACAAGCCTCCCTTCCTCAATCCTTGTGAGCACAACATTCGAGGTCGAGTAATTCTGTTAAGAAAAACTAGAAATGGATTGTCTACCAAACAACATAGTACTGGCGCATGGGAACCGTCTAATAATAGATGTACAGGAACCCACCAATCTGCCACAGTTAGATGCTCGATTAGACGATCGAGACGAGGCCACGCAGAGTGCCTGGCTTTTAGCCCAGGATGAGAACCCAGATTCCGAAAAAGTAACCCGTTTACTACACCCTCAACACATGTCAAAATAAATGAGAACAGTACAGCAGTGAGGCGATTAGTAAGCTATATACATTTTCACACTTACAAGCAGCAAGAACTTTGGGATCCCCACCAAGAGGATAGAACTCCAACCCAGCACCCAAGACAAACTCTTTAAAATCGGAGTGGGTTGCCAACCTCACCCTGTGACCATCCTCCTGCCAGAACAAAGCAAAGAAAATAATTATTTGGTTGTATGCCTCTACTTTTTTTTAACTTTTTTTGTAACAACAATTCTGTAAATGATAATTGAAATGATGCAGGAGGTGATGGGAAGATGTTTTACTTTTGTAAATCATTAGGAATTTAAAGAAAACTCAGGTACAGGCGCATAGCTTGAATAATTAGGAAATTATTGCTTAGAAGACAAAGGTTCATATTCTTGCAGCAGATACCTCTTCAGGATCATTTAATAATGTATGTTTATGTCCTGCTACACATCTATTAGGGAATATGGGAGGGAACATTCTTCTGGAGCGATTAGATTTTATTTACAATCGGAACACCATATAGAAAGCATAAATAGTCAAAAGGGTTGGCTTTTAGCCTTCTTTGCAATTTGGTAGGAAAACAATAATAAACCAGAGTATTCCAATTCCATCCATTTACTGCATTGAAAATCAATCCATCTTAGGTATCCATGTTAGTAACAGTATACCCTCCTTCCAAGTAAAGGTTGGAACATATTCTCTTCCGATGCCAGCGGCACCGTTAGACAGTCCAAATCCTTGTAGTTGAAAACAATTTACAGGTTAGATGCAAAAGTTACACAATGAAAACAGAGATGCATCCCTTCCACATCATACATTACTTGACTAGTTGCACACTATCATATCAATTAATTGGCAACTATTTGCTGAAATATAGTTATTGGTGTATGGAGAGAGTGGTTGATTTGTGTAGATTTTGTTTATTTATGTGCCCCAACATATGATTCTATCAGACAGGCACTGTACTGAGGTTTAGCGGGATGAGTGGAAACAGAAACAGCCGGGTAATGATTTGGATGCTTGACTATAATATGATGATCCAAAAAGAGAATGTAATTTATGACCTCTAGCTTGAGTTGGATGCACACTAAACATGTCTTAGTTTCACTACCTTCTATTTTGGCAAAGTGCATGTGTCTGTTAACCTTGAGACTTTTTAATTCCAAAAAAAGAGAAAATCAGTGTAAATTAATGAAGAGTTTATTGATGTTAAGAGTTAACATACACAAGTAGGTTCATAATCAGGAAAGCTGGAAAGTTCTATAAAGTTGGGATCTAAGGATCGATTGATATATGGGTAATTTAATAATTTCTTCACCTGTAATTTTTTCCCAATGGCAACAAAGGGTTGCACATCTCCTCTGGTTCCAACAATGAGCATAACAATTTGCAAAGGAGGTAAGATTTGAATATCTGATAAGTCCCTAGCATCTTCACCTGTAGCCCCACCGTAAGTAATTCCTGAACCAAATACAAGGCGTTCAGGAGTCAACTCTCCTAGAACTTCAAACTTTACAGCCCCATCAAATTGAATGGGAGCAAGCTGTTTTAGCAATTGGGGCTGCAAAAAATCAAACTCATCACAAAAACAAGTATGCATGTCCGTCAATTACCTCAGGATTCAACATTACTGCATATGAAAGGTCAAACTATGTGGTTAAGATCCCATGAATCTCTTGTGGAACTATCAACAGTGAACTCCCCTGTTAAACTAATACACTATTCCTCCCTCACCCTAAAGCAAAACAGCAAATCCAGTGGAATGGAAACCAAAGAGAACATCTAAAAAAGGAATATCTCAAAAGCTGGCCTGCACTTGGAAGTTGTCGTCTGTTCTCAATTAACTTACACTTAATGAGATTTTTCATCAAAGAAATTAGATCCTAAAAATGAAATAACTAGTCAGTGTTTGAATTTCTTGATCTTAGAAAGCGGAATTGAAGGAGTAGCAGTGTCTTCTAGCATTTCAATGTTTCTAATAATAATTAATATAGTTTGACAAAACTCCTGTCAATAGGTCCACGATAGACCATCTTAGATCGGAACTAATGAAAATATGTGGTGAAGAACCGAATCTAGTGTGGGAAAAATGGATACCAGGATGGACAGACTTGGTTAGAAGAATGAATTCCAAAAATTGTATACTAGTTCAGTCTCTCTTTAAATGCATAAAGCAAATAATGTATCTCTAGGAGAACAAGGTTTCTAGATTCTCCAAATTAGTGATACTTCCCTCCATTTTGATTAACAATATAACACGAAATCTACCTTCTTCAGGATTTCTAAGCTCTTTCTTCAATTATTCAATCTCAATTTACACCATTCTAGCTAAACTATCCAGTCTGTTCGAGGCAGACAGATGCATCCTTTTCTTTATCTTCTTCTTCAATTATCTCACTCAATGCAGATACTCAAATGACTACCAATCATAAAATCTTACCTAGAGCACATCAAACTTAGTCCGACTAAATCGAACACCCTCTAAGCTATGCCCGCAAAGTTGACAGAGAAGTGAACAAGTAAAGCAAAACAGACAAGAGCGAGTACCGGCAAAATCAGCACTACTGCAATTCTTTCTGAGCGACTCGCTGGGATTGGCATCGCCATCTTCTATAAGAATTTCGACTCCCAAATCGGAGGAAGGCTCGACTGCGCTACTAGAACAGCGAGAACTCCGCCTTTCCGGCGACGTCTCCTCCATAGAAATATACCTAGCTTGGCTTTCACTCCTCCCTTTCCAATTAGATAAAAGAGAGCAGATCGTAATTATATTACGGAGTAGTTATTTTGGCAAACTCCAATAAGAAATGAAGTCAGCAAAACTTCGTGCTGGAAGTGATTCTTCTACGGAGTATCTTTCTAGAAATTGCATTTCGCGGGTAAAAACTAAAAACGGGAAAGAGAAACGTTGGAAACCACGTCCCAGCAAGGAAGTGCAACTCAAAGTGCCACGTGTTGCTGCATTGGAAAGAGCGAGACTTCTCACTTCTCCACCGTCTCTTTCTCATGATTGCATTTACTTCTACCCCGGAGTATTTTTTAAAATACTGCTCCGTACTTCGTACGTATAATAAAATATGGAAGGGGTTTAACTCACCCGTCTTGAAACACGGACCAAGGAGTCTGACATGTGTGCGAGTCAACGGGCTAGAAAACCCGTAAGGCGTAAGGAAGCTAATTGGTGGGATCCCCCTATGAACTAATTTAGACTGTGAAACTGCGAATGGCTCATTAAATCAGTTATAGTTTGTTTGACTATGAAATACGAATGCCCCCGACTGTCCCTATTAATCATTACTCCGATCCCGAAGGCCAACGTAATAGGATCGAAATCCTATAATGTTATCCCAAGGATTACTAAACTGAGATTGCTGCCTTGCCACGCTCTGTTCGCGGTTCTGCGGGCAAAAAGTGATTTATTAAAAAGGTAAAAGTTGATTTATTAAAGTGATTTTGAAAGAAGTGCTTTATAGTAGAAGTTGATAGTGTTTTAGAATAGAAGTGATTGTAGTAAAAAGGTAAAAGTTGAAGTGTTTGATAAAAAATGATTTTTGATGTAATTTTTTTTATTAAAGTACATAAATGCCCCTATCATAAATTAAATGTAAAACCTATTTTTCTTGAAAACCATTTTCTGGAGATTAATTTCGAGCTAGTGTTCTTGGCCGACATCATCCATGAGTTTCGAATATATATATAGACACACCATCCACTTACAATTTATTGAATTCTTTGTAGCCAAAGCTAAGCATGTTTTTAGATTCAACAAATTTTTTAATTAGCAATTTGTATTTGAGTGGGCCTCCAGAGATCTGATAGCCTTCAATGGCTCGCATAGTTGCATCTGGATAAGCGAAGCATATATATGCCTACAAAGTAAAAATCTGTTTTTGAGTCATGGGATTAAATTTTGTTATAACAAGTGCAGCCGAATCCATGGGGATTAGAGTTTTTCGTTATCAATTTATGCATCGGAGAGGCCTTATTTTTCCATTCTGCGAGCCTATGTATGTATGTTGAGGAGGAAGGGATGCACTGTGCTCTCTGCGCAGAAGAAAGAAGACGTACGACGGGAGATCGAGAAGGGGCATCTTGGGATTAAGTGAAAAATAGGTCATTATAATTTTCCTCAAAGTTCATGTTATTTACATAAAAACCTAGAAGCAGTTAGAAGCAGCCAACTACCAGCTTCTAACTTTTGACTTTAAAGTGCTTTTTAAAAGTAGAAGTTAATGTTTGAAAACACTCTTTTCAACTTTTTTAAGTTAAAAGCTAATAAGTGCTTTTTTTAATCTTTCACAAACACTCCTTAAGACCAATTCCAGGCGTCAAGAATCCCAATTGTCAAATTTGGACAATTTGACAATTTAGACAATTTAACTCACTAACTCCGTTCATATGAAAATAGTGCTTAGACTTCGTCAATACTGTTTTTCTCTGCATCTGTGCACCGTCAATAAAATACACTCAACATATTTTTTCATATCAATTTCGTAAAAAATTATTATAAATAATGTTTTACTTTTAATTTATCCCTGAATAGTTATGAAATAAAAAAATACACATTTCGATGTAAAAACGAGAACGGAGTAATTTTTATTAAATTTTTTTAACGTTTTTCGTTTAACAAAATGAATTAGTTTAAGTAAAGTTCGATTATGAAATAAAATTATTTGTGAAGGTTTTATGAATTAATTTTTTTTAGCTCAAGAAAACTCCAACAGTTAAAACTTCAAAAAAGAATCATTTTATAAATCACATATGAAAGTCATATGAAAGATCATAAAAATTCATGAATTTTGATATACTTTTTGAAAATTTTTGAGAACAAATAAAAAAGTTATAACAGTTTAAAACAATTTGGGATTATGATGACATTTGCGTGAGGTCATTATGATGTCAGCTGAACTATAGCAAGTTATCAACGCCTTGGAGCCCCCACTTTCTTTTCTTTTTCAATTTTTTTGCCCTATCAATCCAACCCTCTATGTTTACACTCCTCCACTCTCCTTCCCACTTTTACTCCCGCTATTAATCCACCACTACACCTAATTGGGATTCTAAAAGTTCCATTTTTAATCTTTTGACTCCTAATCCTTAACCACTACAAATGGTCTAAGGCTAACCGCAACCCGCTCCCGTCAATAAATCAAATTTACCAGCATTTTATACGTATTCACTCAGTCAATCACTTTTTCTATGCAACTCAGCACCGTCAATATATTCACTCAACACAGTTTTTTTAATAAATGTATAAATCCTTATTTTTATTATCACACATCAATTATATGACATTTTTTAACGAATATTTATGATTTAAAAAGTAAATTTAAAAATATTTATTTTATTTTATTTCAGCACTCCCAGGACGTCTACACCATGCATGCCTTCGGACCGCACAAACCTGATGCAGGAAGCTGACAGCTGGGACCCGGATGAACTTTGGCGGTCGTCATCTGCTCGGTTCGCAATCGCCTCCCTCTGATCGTCGATGCCTTGCGCTGCTCGTCGCTAGCCATGGACAGGCAGACCATCGCTCGTCACTGACAGGGATTTGTTGCCATGTACTTGTCGCTCGCCACCTCCATGCATCGCCAAGCAGAAGAAAGAAGTATCTTTATTGGGTTGGAGATCACGTTTGTCTAGGCAGTTAGGCGGCCGTTCTTGTGTCGGGTCATCTCGGTTGATGGGAGGAACCGAGCTTTTTCAAGGAATAAGATAGTAGGTGTAATTTATATTTTGATTAAATGAAGTTGTATGTTGATTCACGCGTTTTACCCATGTAACATGTAACTAGAAAGTTCAGCATGCATCGCTCCCGCTGTATCATGACTGCTCGGTTGAAGGAAGTGAATAACCGATTCAAACCAAATGATAAAACCAACTAAATTTGATTGAAATAAAAACCCACACTTTCGGTTGTAAGTTAAGTTTTAGATATTACGCACCGACCGAGGAAGTCATATGCCCAGCTATCTTTGCTTGATGCTTTGAGCTCAATTGCTCCCAGCACGAAACGGTACTGCCCAAGCTATTCATGGCCAGCACATGAAAAGATCTTTTTGTTCTGAGTAAGTGATTTCGTTTTCTAATACTCCGTATAACAATACAACTATCATTTAGAAATTTTATGTTCTTCCACTGTGATTCGACCAGCCACTTTCCATATGTGGGTTTTGAGTTAGAACTTTGAACAACCTAAATTTGTTTAAACATTATTCCAGGTAATTTTTTTGTTTCATGCTTTTAGTGCCTCACACATTCAAGAATCAAGATTGTTAACTTAAAGTATTTGACCTTCTTGCCTCCAAAGTGTTCGACAAAATTACTTTAGGAAATCAAAGAACTTAGTTTTATTGCTAATTAACTTAATCTTACATTTTTTTATTCTCTTAATTCTTAAACCCTTGTTGTTGTTCATTTTTTAATGGAAAACTATGGATAAAATGACAGAATATATGTAGCCCTTTTGACCATTCAGAACGTAGAATTATTACATGAATCTGCTAAAGAATTTAATTTGGGGGTTAGCATATCTTTTTGAAACTCTTAAAATCTCTAATGATTTGGTGGCAAGAATTTTAACTTTTTAATTTTGAAGTACTGTTGTTTTGCTGGTGTTAGTATACTGTATACATGTAATATGTGTATATTGAATGTGCATAAGTGGTGGGAAAAAGCCTTTCTGGCAGACATGTTTTCTGTATTTTGTCAAGCGTAGGTGAGTAAACCGAAAACCGACAGACTAAACTGACTATTAAACAAACCGACTGAATTCCATTCGGTTTGATTACCTGTGATTACCGGTCCTCACTTTTGAAAACTGACCAAAAAAACTGATTGACACCGACTGAAACTGACCAAACCGACCCGACGAACACGCCTAGTAGATACCAAATGAACAATGAAATTAAATCAGTAATAAACATTTAAGTAATTGAATCACCAAAATGGATATGCACATTTCCTTGATGGTTCACCAAAATTACAGAAAATGGATACATATAATCAATGCCAAGCTTTATCTTCATCTAGTTCTTCATCGCTGCTTGTTGACGAGTATGAACCAAAATTCTGATTCTCAGATTTCATACTGCCTTCCTTCCTTAAACTGGATCTCATACTCCTCCCATCATCTGATTCCGCAATACTGCTGGATCTCAAATTCATACTGGCATTAACGCTGTAACAGAAGCTCATGTCGCCGACGTCTTCATCGGCATCTGAGATTCTGTCATTTCTCCAGTTGATGGAATCGCTCTCTTGGTCGTCTTTGTAGGCGGTTCTGCTCCGCCTTGGGCTCAAACCATCACTTGCATTTCCATCATCTGATGATGCATTTCCATCATCTGAGGATGATGAATTGCTTCTGATGCTACTTGATCTTGAGTTTATCCTTTTAGAATTGCCTCTTCTGGACTCTGATTCCTCTCCTTCTCCTTCATCCTCACTTTGATCTGAGGAAGAGGAACTGTTTTCACTGTTTTGGTCCTCATCATCGCTACTGTCGCTGTCGGATGTATTTTCATTTGGATTCTCCGGTGATGGTTGGGTCTGGTCCGGAAGCGGTGCAACGGGGACTGACGGTTCTTCTATTGGAGCCGCTGCTAGGAAACTAAGAGCAGCGACGACGTCACCGAACAGAGGGCGTACTGATGCTTCTTCTTGGAGGCACATGGCGGCGACACCTACTGCTTGGTTCAAACTTGTCATTGGAAATGCGTTCTTCATAAGTGGATCTGCCATTTCTGGGAACCTTTTTGGATCCCTGAAAATGGGTCGTGCCTGTAGGTAAATCAAAGTCATTTTGCATTGTTAGTTTACTTTTGTTCTATTGAAGGATAACTCGCAATCAATCATTAAATTTGGTGTTTCTATCTTCTCAAAATTGCTTCTCCTCCATTAGGTAGGATTATTTGGCTCAAAGTTCAAAAGTATTCTGTAAAACCAATTTTGATTCTATTTCTACTTAAAAAAGAAGCCTAAGCACAATCA